CCCAGCTAATGTTTTTGTATTTTTAGTAGAGACGGGGTTTCACCATGTTGACCAGGATGGTCTCGATCTCTTGACCTCGTGATCCACCTGCCTCGGCCTCCCAAAGTGCTGGGATTACAGGCTTGAGCCACCGCGCCTGGCCTACACCCAGCTAATTTTTGTATGTTTAGTAGAGATGGGGTTTCACCATGTTGGCCAGGCTGGTCTTGAACTCCTGACCTCAAGTGATCCACCCCCCTTGGCCTCCCAAAGTGCTGGGATTACAGGCGTGAGCCCAGTTTGTTTTTTTTCTTCAAACATCCAGTTTTTATTGGACTTGGACCATTGGGACCAGTGCTAAGCTTGATTTTATACTTCCCACTGTGATGTCACGCAGGCTTCATTTACCTGCCAGTGTGTATCCTCTTCTCCAGTGGCCCCAACCTTGTTGGCACCAGGGACCGGTTTAGTGGAAGGGGTGGTGGGGTGGATATGGTTTTTGGATGATTCAAGCGGATTACATTTATTATGCACTTTATTTCTATTATTATTACATCGTAATACATAATGAAATAATTATACAACTCACCATAATTTAGAATCAGTGGGAGCCCTGAGCTTGTTTTCCTGCAACTAGATGGTCCCATCTCGTGGGATGGGAGACAGTGACAAATCATCATGCATTAGATTCTCAAGGATCTGACAACCTAGATCCCTCACATGCACAGCTCACAGAATTCCTGCTCCTATGAGAATCTAATGTTGCTGCTGATCTGACAGGAGGCGGAGCTTAGGTGGAGTGCCTGTAAATACAGATGAAGCTTTCTTGCCCGCCAGCTGCTCACTTCCTGCTGTGCAGCCCAGTTCCTAATAGGCCTTGGGACTGGCCCCCAGTGAGGGGGGGAGGGGGTTGAGGACCCCTGCTCTTCTTATTGGCCTATAACAGCTAAAATAATATAGTGCTGCATTACCTTATGTCATTTTCATGATGCCAAGTACAAAACTAAATTCAGGTTGGGCTCAGTGGCTCACACCTGTAGTCCCAGGACTTTGGGAGGCTGAGGCAGGTGAATTGCTTGAGCCTAGGAGTTCAGGACCAGATTGGGCAATATGGTGAAACCCCATCTCTATGGAAAAAAAAAATTAGCCAGGCATGATGGCATGCACCTGCAGACCCAGCTACTTGGGAGGCTGTGGTAGGAGGATCCCTTGAGCCTAGAAGTTTGAAGAGAGAGACCCTGTCTCGACAATAAATAAATAGCAGTAGCTCACACCTGTAATCCCAGCACTTTGGGAGGCTGAGGCAGGCAGATCACCTCAGGTCAGGAGTTTGGGACCAGCCTGAGCAACATGGTGAAGACTCATCTCTACTAAAAATACAAAAATTAGGTGTATGTGGTGATGGGCACCTGTATTCCCAGCTACCTGGGAGGCTGAGGCATGAGAATTGCTTGAACCTGGAAGGCAGAGGTTGCAGTGAGCTGAGCTTGCACCACTGCCTCCAGCCTGGGTGACAGAGCGAGACTCCGTCTCGAAAGGAAAGAAATAAAGAAAAAAAGAAAGAAAGAAAGAAAGAGAGAGAGAAGAAAGAAAGAAAGGAAAATGAAGAAAAACAAATCTAATACCTTAAAAAACTAAAGTTTAATTCTGTTACTCTGTTTTAGTCTTTGTGTTACACAACAAGAGCACTGCCATTATAATTGATGATTATAAAACCATGTGACTTAGTGGTAGAATTGTATTGCAATTAAATCATAGTTTAAACAAGAATTTTAATTTTTAGTTACATTGTTCTCAAACACACATAATGTGATAGATCTTTTTTTTATTGTTGTTTTTAAGAAATGGTTAAGAGATGGGGTTTCACCACGTTAGCCAGGATGTTCTCAATCTCCTGACCTCCTGATCCGCCTGTATTGGACTCCCAAAGTGCTGGGATTGCAGGTGTAAGCCACCAAGCCAGGCCTGTGATAGATCTTAATGTGGCAGTTAGAAGATATTTGGGAGCAGAGGTTTTTTTCCTCAGGCTGCTGCTTATAGGCACCTCCATTCTCCATTATAAACACCCAACTCAATTCACTGTAGCTGGAGTGATCTTTGAAAACAAATCTGATCGTGTCACCTCTCTGCTTAAAGCCTTCAATGCTCCTCACTCAGTTAGGATTCAATCTAAGCTCCTTGATGAGGTTTACCTTTTCAGTGTCATCTGGAGCAGAATTGTTCAACTGCTTCCCCACTCTAGAATGGCACATTATGTCTCACCTCTTATTTTGTGGTGCTAGCGGTGGATGATGCTCAGTGGGTAGATCTCTTAATTCATTAGGGGTTGCAAAATGGTGACATTCTATCATTCCTTATTTATTTGTTTCTTGGAATACTTTTTTTTTTTTTTTTTTTTTGAGATGGAGTCTGGCTCTGTAGACCAGGCTGGAGTGCAGGGGTTCGATCTCAGCTCACTGAATCCTGAAACCTCCGCCTCCAGGGTCCCGGTTCAAGCAATTCTATCTCAGCCTCCCAAGTAGCTGGGATTGCAGGCATGAGCCATCATGCCCAGCTAATTTTTGTATTTTTTAGTAGAGATGCGGTTTCACCATGTTGGCCAGTCTGGTCTTGAACTCCTAACCTTATGATCTGTCCGCTTCAGCCTCCCAAAGTGCTGGGATTACAGGCATGAGCCACCACACCCGGCCAGAATACTCTTATAAAAGAAAATTTCCCACATTTACTCTTTGGTTACTCAAAGGTATAGATTCCTTAGAAAAGTTAACACAGGCTGGACTCGGTGGCTTACGCTTGTAATCCCAGCACTTTGGGAGGCGGAGGCAGATGGATCACCTGAGGTTGGGAGTTCAAGACCAGCCTGGCCAACATGGCGAAACCCTGTCTCTACTAAAAATATAAAAATTAGCTGGGTGTGGTGGCTGGTGCCTATAATCCCAGCTACTTGGGAGGCTGAGGCAGGAGAATTGCTTGAACCTGGGAGGGGTGGAGGTTGCAGTGAAACGAGATCACGCTTTTGCACTCCAGCCTGGGTGACAGAGTGAGACTCCGTCTCAAAAAAGAAAGTTAACATATATTAATTTTGGTTTTTATACTTTGAACTATAGGCTTTTTTTTTTTTTTTTCAAGTCTCAAAACATTTTCATAAGCAGTGTGCTACAGTGCTAGTGGCTAAACCATCTCTGCCTACAGAGACTGGAAGTAGAAAAACAAGGAGGCAGGGCCAGTGGTGACCAGAAATTTTCACAGCAGCACCAAAGGGTATTTGTCCTTAGCTCCAGCAGAGTTACTCACCTTTTTTTCTCTGCAACCGTGAAACGTTCTTCTTATGCAAAAGAGAAAAAATCCGTCATATCTAAGGACGTTGCAAAGTTTTGTTTTCCTTGAGAAATTTGATATGCTTTTTCCTTATCATTCAGAAACACAGTCTGTTTTCCCAGTTTGCATTGCGCCCTATAAATTTCAAGCCAAAATTTCTGTTTAATTTTGGAACAATAGGAACTCCTGATCGGCACATCTAAAGTTTTCTTCAATCTTGATCTTCCATACTCGTTGCTGCCTTTTATTTAATTTTACGCTTCCGTTTGATTATATATATTCCACTAGCAGAAAGGAGTTTGAGTGAACAAAAACATTTACAGAGCTATCAGCCATCTAAGAGAGTACCCTTTCTTGGCATTCCACACACTGCCGGCTGTTATTTGAAAAATCTTTACTGATGCAGTAAGCCAGAAATGGTTTCTCATTGAGGTTTTAATTTGTATTTCTAAGATTACTGGTGAGAGTCAACATTTTCCCATATTTGTTAACCAGGTTTAAAACTGTTTGCTTGGGACGAGGCTTATACAGAGACGAGTGCAGCTAATCTGACTGAAAGACAAATGAAACCCAGGAATATATAGTTCTCACGTTTTAGCTTTGACTCCGCCCCTGGGTCCCCTCACCCACCCCCACCCCAAGCAAGCCCTTTGTGTGTATCTACCGTCAGGGAACGGGATCTCAGACTGAAAAGCTGGTAGAATACCATATTGCCCCCATATATGTGTGTTATGCGTATATCCTGTGTCTGCAATGTTTACGGGAAAGAGTTCCTGAATCCTAACCAAGCCTGGGGCACTGGCCGGTACCCGGCGTCTTTCAGCAGGCGCGGCCTCTGCCACTCGGCCTTCGATTGGCCCGCCTGGTCCCGCAGGAGTCCGGAGACGCAGGCCTGCCCAACGCGGACGATGCGAGCGAGGAGTGTCTGCTTCTGGCTTTCTCTCCCCCCACATTTTTTTTTTTTTTTTTTTTTTTTTTAGCCATAGCTATGGTTACCACGTTTCTCTCCGCCTCCCTCCACCTGCCAAGAAAACGATTGGCCATTGGTTGCCTTTCACCAAGGCGGTCAGTTATTGGTCTCTGGTGGGACCGGGCGCTGCCCCCTTCCCCTGTCTCCTGGGTCTCTGGAGGAGCCCAGGAAGGAGGCTCCGCTGGTGCCGCCGGGTCAGGCGCTGCCGGGACCGGGCTGCGGCAATCGTTAGCGGGTCATGTCGGCCGCCCAGGGCTGGGACAGGAACCGCCGGAGGGGAGGAGGCGCTGCCGGCGCTGGTGGCGGAGGTAGCGGGGCCGGCGGGGGCAGTGGGGGCAGCGGGGGTCGGGGGACTGGCCAGCTCAACCGGTTCGTGCAACTCTCCGGGCGGCCGCACCTGCCAGGTGAGTCGTGGGACAGGGTTCTGACCGCTTGCGGGCGCGGCAGGCGGGAAGGTGACTGCTACCTTTTTTTTCTCCCTGCCTTTCTTTTCCTTGGGAGGAGGAAAGGCAGGCCCCACGCATAACTGAGGAATTGGGGAACAGAGAAAAGGGAAGGTGCCTTTGAGGTCAGGGAGGGAACAGGGGCGCAGCGAAGAAAACTATCTTTGCTCTGTTGAAAGCTGTGTGCTGAGAGTTGTGTTTTCTTTTCAAAGGAGAGGCCACTGTCTCATTGACATTTCCAAATGTTTCACTCACTCGATTCCCAGTCTCTTCCCCTTCCGCAGTTTGAACTCGTAAATGAAAGACATTGGCGCCTAGCTGTGGGAAATTATTTCAAAAAGGGTGCCAAGTTAAGGAGAGAAGAGGGAAGCGCATTCCAAGGAGTGATTTTGTAAAAAACCATCCCGGGTGTGTGTGTAAGAGTTAGGCATTCTGAAACGGAAGAAAGGGGTGGGGGAGTGTTGTCTGGGGAGTGTACGGGAAAGAGAACCGAGGGGATTAGGGAAAACTAGTTGGATTATTAATATTTTGGAATATCCAGAGACAGAATAGATAATGGTGTCTAGGTTTTAAGAGGAGCAAGGGAATCTCAAAATATATTGAGTGACAAAATTATGCTGTGTTTACAATAAAAAACAACTGAGAACTGGAAAAATGTACCCAACACAATTATTTCACATTTTGGTCTACAGTGCCCTAGCTTGAGTTAAGATGCTTTTGAAAGCAAAATCAAATCAACTGGATATGTGTGTGTAGACAGTTTTTTAAAGAGATACATTTGTAATCGAATATTCAATCCAGTAGAAGAAAGATAAGGAATCAAATAATGCACAGAATGTCAAATATTCCACTGGGCAAGCTTATTTTTACTATGAAAAGAACTATCAGGGATTATGTGTTAATTATTCACCGTGTATTTTTGTGAATAATCCTGATTATATTAGTGATATACTATTTGTTTTGATGATGAGTTTTGAGAACATGATGAATTGTTTTTTTTGAATTGTGTTTATGACTGTACTTTATACTTGTAAGTAGTCAAAAATTATTATTTTATTAAATTGAAGATGACAAAGGGAATTTAGCACATTTAATGAGACAATTGCTTATGTTTGTGATGAGGTAATTGATGTGTGCTAGAAATGTACATTACCCCATTTATATACACCATTAAAATTAAATCGAGGCATTTGTAAGTAGTCATATAATATACCAGCAGTTCAGTTTGAGATGATAATATTAGACTGTGCACCCTAGAATTGCTAAATATATGATCTTTAACATAAAGGAGCAATCGTTTTTCTTACTCCCAATTAATAATAAAAACTTAGATTTTTGTGTATTGATAGCTTAGAAGATGAATCTCTTAGCAAGCACACTATCACCAGTTTGCCTTCTGCCACCACAATCTTTAGGTCTTTGATCATGGATTAATTATACCTTGGGCTTCATGTAGGCATTCCTGGGTTCCTAGAGCCTGGTTGGTGCACTTCCTAGCTGCGACCATGTGATGGCAGTGGAAACCATGATTTCTGTTAAGGGGCTTCAGTGTGGAGCTATTTCTGCATTCCCTTAGCACATAAGGCCGACTACAGCCATTTAACCGGAGGTAAAGATAAACGTGTCTAAACTGTGAAAATTTGTAGAGTAGGGTCATCAGTCTCTTTTTTCTGCTTCCCTTTTCTCTTGACTGACACTTCATTGTCCCTTTACTCATTCTCAAAATTGGGACACATCTGATATCTCAATATATTATATAGTTTGAAATTCTTTCATACCAATTCTTTATTCTCCCACGTACTGTATTCCAAGCCTTTCCCTTTCTCTTGTATTTTGATAGATTTTTAAAGATTTTAGGTGATGGGGAGGCATAGAATGTCTAGGCTTGGTTTATGATGGGCCCTGGAGATAAAACTTTTTTAAAAAAAGTTTTTATATATTTTTTTGAGATGGAATCTTGCTCTGTCCCCCAGGCTGGAGTGCAGTGGTGTGATCTTGGCTCACTGCAACCTCCGCCTCCCGGGTCCAAGTGATTCTCCTGCCTCAACCTCCTGAGTAGCTAGGATTACAGGTGCCCACCCCCACCCCTGACTAGTTTTTGTGTTTTTAGTAGGGTCGAGATTTCACCATGTTGGCCAGGCTGGTCTTGAACTCCTGACCTCAGGTGATCTGCCTGCCTCGGCCTCTCAAAGTGCTGAGATTCGAGGTGTGAGCCACCTCACCGAGCCAAACCTTTCTTTTTCTTTTTCTTTTTTTTTTTTTTTAAGTGTACTGTGGCGGTTGGTCGGGGTGGCTCATGCCTGTAACCCCAGCACTTTCGAAGGTCAAGGTGGGAGGATTGCTTGAGCCTAGGAGTTCAGGACCAGCCTGAGCACCAAAGCAAGACCGAATCTCAAGTTAAATATTAAAAAAAAAAAAAAGTGTACTATAGCTAATTTTCTCTCTCTTTAGACCTCTAATCCCCATTTGTCTTTTTCTTTCTTTATTATTATTATTATTTTTTTCGAGACAGAGAGTCTCACTCTGTGGCCCAGGCTGGAGTACAGTGGCACAATCTCGGCTTACTGCAATCTCTGCCTCCCGAGCTCAAGCAATTCTGTCTCAGTCTCCCAAGTTACTAGGATTAGAGGCTCAGGCCACCACGCCTCACTAATTTTTTGTATTTTTGGTAGAGATAGGGTTTTGCCACGTTGGCCAGGCTGGGCTTGAACTCCTGGCCTCAAGCGATCCTCCCACCTTGGCCTCCCAAAGTGTTGGGATTAGGCATGAGCCACGGTGCCCAGCCAGCCCCATGTTCCATTTTTCATCCTTCTCTACCAAGACTTCCAGTTACTGATACCTAGAACCTTTTCTTACTTTTTACATCTTAACCCTTCATCCAGCCCCCAATGAAACCAAACAAAACAACCTGGTCTTCTTGGAGTGTTCTCACTCCCTTTCAGTGTTAGCTTTATCTGTCGAGTTGTGCAAACCTGAAACTTGGGCATCCTCCTTAATATTTTCTTCTCCCTTGTGCTTCAGGTGTAATCATTTACCAAGTCCTATTTCTTGTACTCCTGCCGTAACTCTAATCCATGGTGCCACCATCCCTCACTTAGGTCTCCTGTAGGAGCTTTTTAAGCAGTACTCCTGCTTCTGCTCTTGCCTTCTGATTGATATATCACACCAGTCTTTGCAAGGACAAATGCATTCTCATCCCCACTCAAGGCAAAAATCTTTAACATGGCCTAAAAGGCACTGTGTCATCTGACTCCTCTGTAACTCTCCAGTTAACGCTGTGTTACATTATCTTGCTCATTGATCTTCTTCTGCCTCCTCAGATGTATCATGCTTCCTCCTGCCCCAGGGCCATTGCACAAGCTTTTTCATCATCCAAGAACTTCCTTAAATTCTCCTCATTCCATTCTCTTGTGTTAACTTCTCTTCCATTAGAGCTCAGTTTGATTACCATTTTTTGCAGGGAAGCCTTCCGTGATGATCTGACTTGGTCTCTTCTCTCTGTAACACTCATAGCATCAGGTGGCTCTCCTTGAGCATGCTTTATCATTTGTGTGTGATTCCTTGCGTGGTTCAATCCTTTCTAGCCCCACTGACTCTGGACAGATGGTTAAAATCGGGTTTTTGTTTTTGTTCTTTTCCTAAGATGGAGTCGAGCTGTGTCGCCCAGGCTGGAGTGCAGTGGAGTGATCTCGACTCACTGTGACCTCCGCCCACCGGGTTCAAGCAGTTCCTCTGCTTCAGCCTTCTGAGTAGCTGGGATTACAGGCATGTGCCACTGCGCCCAGCTAATTTTTGTATTTTTAGCAGAGACGGGGTTTCATCATGTTGGCCAGGCTGGTCTCGAACTCCTGACCTTGTAATCCACCCACCTCGGCCTCCCAAAGTGCTGTGTTTTCAGGCATGAGCCACTGTGCCTGGTCATAATCAGATTCTTTAATGCAAAGTAGTGGATTAGACTCTGCATCCATTGTGACAGCACAAACGATAGTTTGTGAAGCCTTTTTTTGAGCACTTGCGTTTCTGCTGTTTTCTAAAGTTCAGTAGTGATTATGTGTTTGCCAAGAAATAATAGCTTTTTACTGCTGGATTTTTACTAACTCATAATTTCTATACACCCAGTAACGAACAGGGAATTGTGCTTTTTGTAGAATAAGTATGCAGAGAGAGCTCAGGAGCAAGGGGATCATGGGGCAATCGAATCCAAGTAGCTATTGTGATTTAACTGTGAGTTTCATTAAATACCATGATTAGCTAGGAAAACAGCTAAACATTGTTGCTAACATGGGAACTGGGAAAGGGACAAAGGAAAAGAAGGAAAAATGTAACAGTAAAGCTGGGTAAAAATAACATGGTAGTCTTAACTTAAAATTTTTAAATAAATAATGTGTATAAAATTCAAATGGTGCCAAAAAAAATATGGTAAAATGAAGCTTTTCTTCTATCTTAGACCCCAGCTAATTGAGTTCCTTCCCTAGAAGCAACCAATGAACCATTTCTTGTATATTTTTTCCTGGTATGGGGGATGGGAAGGACTTTGTGGAGATGGTAGCATTCCTTTGTTTGGCTGGGTATTTAAGATGTTTACAGTCTTGCTAATGCAAATAGTGATACAATGAATATCCCTATACATATATAATTTTTGCACGAGAAAGAATCTCTCTTTTTTGGGATAAATTTGTAGAAGTACAGTTTCTGGATCAAAGGGTATGTACTGTTTAAACTGATGGATACTGTCAAATTGCGAGTATATGTTTCTCTCTTGGTGTTAGAGTGCTTTCTCCTTGTTCTCTTGGTAACAGAGTGCGTTATCTAACGTTATTTAAATTGTCAGTTTAATAGGAATATTTTTCTTAAGCATCTTTTCAATAGGTAGGTGTAAGAGCCATTTATTTGTTTCCTTTATTTATAGACCTGTTTATATTTTTTGTTCATTTTTCTATTGGGATGGCTCATATTGTTTATAAAGGCAGTCCCCAACCTTTTTGGCACCAGGGACCGGTTTCATGGAAGACAGTTTTTCCATGGACGGGGATGGTGGGGTGGAAGAGTAGGGGGAATGATTTTGGGATGAAACTGTTCTACCTCAGGCCATCAGGCACTAGAGACTCATAAGGAGCACACAGCCTAGATCCCTTGCATGCACACTTCACCATAAAGTTTGCACTCCTGTGAGAATCTAATGCCTGATCTGACAGGAGGTGGAGCCAGGGCGGGAATGCTCACTTGCCCACCACTCACCTCCTGCTGTGTTGCCAGGTTCCTAACAGGACCAGTACCAAGGGTCTGTAGCCTGGGGGTTGAAGACCCCTAGTTTATAGGAACTCTGTCTTTTGTTTGTTTGTTTGTTTGTTTTTGAGACAGGGTTTCACCGTATTAGTCAGGCTGGTCTCGAACTCCAAACCTCAGGTGATCTGCCTGCCTCCGCCTCCCAAATTGCTGGGATTACAGGCGTGAGCCACCGCCCCCAGCCCAGAACTCTGTATTTTAATGAAATCAGTTCTTAGCCTTTGACATATGTTGCAGATATTTTTCGCAGTTTTTTCATTTGTCTTTTGACTTTGTTTATGGTCTATTTTTTCAGCAGAGATTAAATGTTTCATTGTCAAATTTATCAGTTTTTTCAGAGTCTAGGTTTTATATCATAAGAAAGGCCTTTCCTATTTCAGTATTATTTCTAATTAAAATTAAATATTCTTGTGTTTTCTCCGGGTACTTCTGTAATGTTATTCTTAAGTTAAATGGCCTACCTACACAAATGTAAGTTGAATAAAGTGTTGAGGTAGGAATCCAGCTTTACTTTCCTTCCAGGTGGCTGCCCAGTTATCACAGTGTCCTTCATTTAGTTCAGCTTTGCCCTGCCGATTGAAGTGTTGTCTCTAGCTGTACTTAGCTCCTACATATAATTTTAGGTTATTACTGGACTTTTATTCTGTTTCATTGCTCAGATTACCTATTTATACTTAATGACTCCATACTATGGTTATAATCTTCCCTCATTCTGCTTCCCAGAGTTTTCCTGAAAAGTTTTCCTTGTTTATTTTTCTATCTGACTTAGAATTAGCCAACCAAGTCCCATTCCTCTGTGCTGTTGGTATTTTTGTTGGTATTGTAGTATATTTATAGACTAATTTAGAGAAAATTTACATCTTTTTGAGGTTCAGGAACAGGGTCTATATTCATTTCCTCATGTTCAAAAACAGTATATGTGGCCAGGCACTGTGGCTCATGCCTATAATTCTAACTCTTTGGGATTTTGAGGCGGGCAGATCACTTGAGGCCAGGAGTTCGAGACCAGCCTGGTGAACATGGGGAAACCCCATCTCTGCTACAAATATAAAAACTAGCAGTGTTTGCAGGCACCTGTAATCCCAGCTACTCAGGAGGCTGAGGCAGGAAAATTGCTTGAATCCTGGAGGCAGAGATTACAATGAGCCAAGATTGCACCACTACACTCCAGCCTGGATGACAGAGTTAAGACTCGGTCTCAAAAAAAAAAAAAAAAAAAAAAAAAAAAAGAACGTTTTATGTATTTATTGTTGTTCAAGTCTTGTTTTGTATCTATCAACATTTTAAAGGTTTTTTTTATGTAGGCCTCTCACATTTCTTATTATGTTTATTCCTTGGTGCTTACTTTTGTTGTTGCTATTCTACTTCTTTTACAACTTTTATGTGGTTGTTTGAATATGGGAATGCTATTAAATTTTGAGTATTAATTTTGTACCTAGCCACCTTAAGAATTCTAATATTATCTGTAATAGTTTCTCAGTTGTTTTTCTAGAGAATAACGGGTATAGCTAAATAATCATATCATTATGGAATAATGATAATTTTTTTTTTTTTTTGAGACGGAGTTTCGCTCTTGTTACCGAGGCTGGAGTGCAATGGCGCGATCTCGGCTCACTGCAACCTCCTCCTCCTGGGTTCAGGCAATTCTCCTGCCTCAGCCTCCTGAGCAGCTGGGACTACAGGCACGCGCCACCATGCCCAGCTAATTTTTTGTATTTTTAGTGGAGACGGGGTTTCACCATGTTGACCAGGATGGTCTCGATCTCTTGACCTCGTGATCCACCCGCCTCGGCCTCCCAAAGTGCTGGGATTACAGGCTTGAGCCACCGCGCCCGGCGAATAATGATAATTTTATCTTCTCCTTTTCATTTTTTTTCTTTTTTAAAAATAGGCTGGGCATGTTGGCTCATGCCTGTAATCCCTGCACTTTGGGAGGCCGAGGCGGGCGGATCACTTGAGGTCAGGAGTTAGAGTCCAGACTGGCCAATATGGTGAAACCCCATCTCTACTGAAAATACACACAAACAAAAATTAGCCGGGCATGTTGGTACGTGCCTGTAGTCCCAGCTGCTCAGGAGGCTGAGACAGGAGAATTGCTTGAATACTGGAGGCAGAGGTTGCAGTGAGACAAGACTGCACTTCATCGTGGGTGACAGAACAAGACTCTGTCTCCAAAGAAAAACAAAAAATAAAAAATATATATATGTAAATAAATAAATAAAATAGAGCTGGAATCTTGCTGTGTTGTCCAGGCTGATCCCAAACTCCTAGGCTCAAGTGATCATTCTATCTTGGCCTCCCAAAGTGCTGGGATTACAGGAGTAAGCCTCTGTGGGCTGCCCTCCTTTCTACTTTTTATACTTAGTTCTTTATTTTGCTCAATTGCTTTGGCTAGTACTTTCCAAAAATATCAAACAATAAGATAGTAGTGGAGCTTTGACCTATTCCTTACTTCAACAGGTATTTTTAATGCTTTCCTTTTATGATTAGACCTGGCTTTAGATTGAAGTGTACACGTTAAAATATTCAGCTGTTAACATTTTTAAGGTTTTGGTTTTTTTTTTTTCCCTTCAAGGCAGAGTCTCACTCTGTTGCCCAGGCTGGAGTGCAGTGGCTCCATCTTGGTTCACTGCAATGTCTGCCTCCTGGGTTCAAGTGATTCTCCTGGTTCAGCCTCCCAGCTAACTGGGATTACAGGTACCCACCATCACATCTGGCTAACTTTTGTATTTTTAGTAGAGACAGGGTTTCGCAGTGTTGGCCAGACTGATCTCAAACTCCTGACCTCAAGCGATCCACCTGCCTTGGCCTCCCAAAATGGTGGGATTACAGGTGTGAGCCACCACACCAGGCCTAAAGTTTTTTTTTTTTTTTAATAAATGGAAGTAATATTGCTAATGCCTTTTCAGCATCTATGGGAATTATAATGTGATTTTTGTCCTTTGATCAATTATTGTGGTAGATTGTAGTAATGGATTTATTGTTACTGAACCGTTCTTGTGTTCCTGAATTAACTTACTTTGTCATGGTTATTATTATTTTAAACATAATGCTGGGTTCTGTTTGCTGAACTTTACTTAGAAATTTTGCATCACTCAGGTTATTTTTTTATCGTGTTATTTTTGTTTGATTATTCCACTTTTATAAAACTACTTCAATGCTTGCCTGCCTGTCTGCCTTCCTTCCTTCCTCCCTTGCCTCCTTTCCCCTTCCCTCTCCCCCTTCCTCTCTTCCTCCCTCCCCCATCCCTCCCTCCCTCCCCCCCAACTCCTCCTCCCTCCCTTGCTCCCTGCATTCCTTCTTCCTTCCTTCCCTTCCTCCCTCCCTTCCTCCCCCTGTCACCCGGGTTGGAGTGCACTGGTGCAGTCATAGCTCACTGCAGCCTCAAACTGCAGGGCACAAGCCAACCTCTTGCTTTAGCCTCCCAAGTAGCTAGGAATACAGGCAAGCACCACTACGCCCAGCTTATTTTTAAATTTTTTGTAGAGATAAGGCCTTGCTATGTTGCCTAGGCTGGTTGCAAACTCCTGGCCTCAAGCCATCCTCCCACCTCCGCCTCTCAAAGTGCTGGCATTACAGGCATGAGCCACTGTACCTGGCCCTTACTTTATTTTTATATGGATTTTTCCCCTCTGTGGTTAAATGATACCGAAGTTAAAGATTTTGTTGAATTCTCCATGAAGTCATTTGGACCTCCTCTTTTTTAGGGGGTGGAAGTAGCTCTCAGACAATTATATTGTCCAATTATATCATACTTCTTAGTTTTTTTGAGACAGGGTCTCACTGTGTTGCCCAGGCTGGAGTGTAGTAGCATGATCATGGCTCACTGCAGCCTCAACCTCCTAGGCTCAAGAGATTCTCCTGCCTCAGCCACCTGAGTAGCTGGGACTACAGGTGTACACCACCACACCTGGCTAATTAAAAAAAACTTTTTTTGTAGCAACGAGTCTCACTATGTTGCCCAGACTGGTCTTAAATTCCCAAGCTCAAGCAATCCTCCTGCCTCAACCTCCCAAAGTGCTGGGATTATAGATGTGAGCTACTGCCTCCAGCCCAATTATATCATTATTCTCTGATAGTTTGGCTGCTTAGAATTTATATCCTTTGGGGGTAGCTTTGATAATTTATGTTACCCTAGAAAATTATCCTATTCATCCATATTTTCAAAATTATTTGTGTGAATTGAGCAAGGCATTCTTTTATGATTAAAGAATTATTTCTTGGGTCTGTGACTACTCATTGTCATTTCTTATCTTGTATATGTGAGGCTTTGCCCTTTTTTGTTCATAACTAGCTCTTGGATTTTTAAAAATTAGTTTCACTATTTTCTTTTCTTTTCTTTTTTTTTTTTTTTGAGGCAGAGTCTTGCTATGTCACCAGGCTGGAGTGCAGTGGTTTGAACTCGGCTCACTGCAGCCTCTGCCTCCCGGTTCAAGCAATTCTCCTGCCTCAGCCTCCTGAGTAACTGGGACTACAGGCTTGTGCCACCATGCCCAGCTAATTTTTGTATTTTTAATAGAGACGCGGTTTCACCATGTTGGCCGGGATGGTCTCGATTTCTTGACGTCGTGATCTGTCCACCTCGGCCTCCCAAAGTGCTGGGATTACAGACGTGAGCCACCTGCCCGGCCCTATTTTCTGTTTTTATTAATTTTTTTCTTTTAGTTTTAAATCCTCCCTTTAGTTTTCTGCAGCTCTATTTCATTGTTTGTATTTCTGTCTTCTTATGTTGGATGCTTAATATTTCTTTCCATATGTTTAAATGTGATTTCTTCTGAGCCCTGCTTTAGTTGTTTCCTGTTAGTTGTAGGCTTCTCATTGTAATTATTTTCTAAATATTTTGTCATTTCATTTTAATTTTTTTTTTTTTTTTTGAGATGGAGTTTTGATCTTGTTGCCCAGGCTGAAGTGCAATGGTGCGATCTCGGCTCACCGCAACCTCTGCCTCCTGGGTTCAAGCGATTCTCCTGCCTCAGCCTCCCGAGTAGCTGGGACTACAGGCATGCACTACCATACCTGGCTAATTTTGGAGTTTTAGTAGAGAGAGGGCTTCTCCATGTTGGTCAGGCTGGTCTTGAACTCCTGACCTCAAGTGATCTGCCTTCCTTAGCCTCCCACAGTGCTGGGATTACAAGCATGAGCCACTGTGCCTGGCTGATTTTTTTTTTTAAAACACAGACTAATTTATCCTTTTCAAGTGTTTTTTTGTTTTGTTTTGTGTTTTGTTCTATTTTTTGTTTTGTTTAGAGATGGGATCTCATTCTAGAGCCCAGGCTTGAGTGCAGTGGTGCAGTCATGACTTACAGCAGCCTCAGTCTCCCAGGCTGAAGCAATCCTCCCACCTCAGTCTTCCAAGTTGCTGGGATGACAGGTACATGCCACCACACCTAGCTAATTTTTTAATTTTTTGTAGAGATTGGGGTCTTGCTGTGTTACCCAGGCTGGTTTTGAACTCCTGGCCTCAAGCCATCCTTCTGCTTCAGCCTCCCAAAATGTTGGGATTACAGATGTAAGCCACCGTGCCTGGCCCTTAAATTAAAAAAAAAAAAAAAAAAAAATTTCCATTTGTATGTATTTTAACAGCTTTATAGAGATGTAATTCACATGTCATGCAATTCATACTTTGGAAGTGTGAAAGTCAGTGGTTTCTAGTATATTCACAGATATGCACAACCATACTGTAGTCAATTCTAGAACAGTTCATCTCCTCAAGAGCAAACTCTTTATCCTTTAGCCATCATCCCCTTATCCTCCTGTTCTCTTCCCCTATCCCCTCACCCTAGCCCTAAGCAACTATTCATCTATTTTTTGTCTCTATAGATTTCCCTGTTACAAACTTTCTCATATGAATGGAAACGTATAATAATAGTATGTGGCCTTTTGTATCTGGCTTCTTTTACTTTGGATAATGTTTTCATGGTTCATGCATGTTGTAGGAGGTATCAGTACCTCATTGCTTTGTATTTTCCTGATGACTGATGATGCCGAGCATCGTTTCATGTGATTGCTGCTCATTTGTATGTATTGGCCATCTCTTCTTTGGAGAAGCATTTATTCAGATCTTTGCCCAATTTTTAATTGGGTTGTCTTTTCATTGTTGTTATAGGAGTTCCTTATATATTCTAGATACACCATTGTCCTATGTATGATTTGCATATATTTTCTCCCTTATGTTGTTGTCTTTTTTTTTTTTTTGAGACGGAGTTTCACTCATGTTATCCAGGCTGGAGTGCAATGGTGCGATCTCGGCTCACCGCAACCTCCGCTGCCTGGGTTCAGGCAATTCTCCTGCCTCAGCCTCCTGAGTAGCTGGGATTACAGGCACGCGCCACCATGCCCAGCTAATTTTTTGTATTTTTAGTAGAGATGGGGTTTCACCATGTTGACCAGGATGGTCTCGATCTCTTGACCTCGTGATCCACCCGCCTCGGCCTCCCAAAGTGCTGGGAT